CAGACACACTGCTAAGTGTAGCCCTTGTTCCCATGGTCTTCCTTTCTGTTCCTTAGCCCTGAAATTGCAGCCATTACACCAAATGCAACTTAACATAAATATAATTTTCACTCTAACACACAAGTAGGTTTTGTTTTGTAGTGTTGAGGTGGAATTCACTGTCTCATATATGCTAGGGAAACACTTTACCACCAAGCTATATCCACAGTCCTTTATTTATTTAGAACACTTTATAATATAAAAAGTAACCTAAATGCTCCCTAAAAGTAAAACATTTAAATAATCTATGTTGTAGAATACTCTAAAGTCAACTAACAGTAGCTTTAGGTGGATGTACATACAGTCACACACACACACACACACACACACACACACACACACACACACACACACACCAGTTCTAAGATATATTATCGAGTAAAGAAAACCAATTAGTACAAGCACTCTTAGTTATTTAGATTTTCGCAAATTTGGAAAAACACTAGAGGAAGACTAGGATGGTAACACTTAAGCTTAATAACACATGTTCTTAGCGCAAGAACCCTACAGGAACCACCTAGACCTCATTCCAGGAGATCCTGGATCCAGTGAGGAATTTCTATATAGGCGTTATCATAAGGAATTACGTTAAAATGTATATTCTCATTTTTTAAAATATCACTTGTTGTAGATGTTAGTGGTGTGTTCTAGTGGGCCTTGAGAGAAATAATGTTTAAGAACTTATTATAACCATGATTAAATATTATTCTTTATAGAAAGCAATTACCATATTCATATTTAATGACAAAAATAAGTTTGTTTACATAACATCCATTGTATTTTGTGATTGAAAATTGTGTAAACGAACTTTCCTGCCTTTCATCTCTACTCCCTGGGCTTCCCTTCTTGCCTTTGGACACTTCATCTCTTTCTAGTGGCTTCTATGTTCTGCTGCTAGTCTGTTTGAGGGTGTGATGGATGATAGGCAGTTAGGAATATCTTATGGAGTTAATTCTCCACTATTTGATTTACCTGTTTCTTGAGTGCTCAGAAGGAGACTGAGTCCATCAGGAGTATACTGCTCTCTGGTTGTATTTGAAGCCAATGTAACTTCTTCAGGTTGCCCGTAGCAGTTGGATAGTTTTAGCAAGCAATCTTATGGAGCGTGTGCTTCAGTCTGTCAGAAGTCCTGACACAGAAATGAGCTTTTCGGTAATTTTCCTGGGTTCAATTGAAGAAGATTCACTTAAAGTCTACTTCAAGAAACTGTATCTAAAGACCTGAAATTTCCTTCCAAAGAGAAGCTACTCAGTCTGTGAGTGGACAAGCCAGCCAACCTCAGGCCACAGAGTGGATTTATGATGTAAGGAAACAAATTCAAGTTTTTATTACAGTAATTTCCTGCCGTCAATTTTTCTGTCTTCTTTGTAAAGGGGCAACCACAGTCAGGAGACAAAGTCTTCTTTTGGTTAACGTTGACTGTCCTAGGATGAAGCCTGTAGATATTAACATTGTGGAGAAGGTCCTTTTCCTCAGAAAGTGCAACAGGAGAGAATTTAAATGACTTCCCCCTAGAGTGTCCTGTTCAACGTCATTTGGTGCTCATGAATCAATACTCTTTACCTACAGTTATTCTGGTAGTCACAATGATGGTAGGAGTCTTCTTGGTAAGACATATTAAAAAGCTTACGGCAGAATTTAAATTACTTTTTTCATTTTTGTTGTTTTTTTTTTTTTTTTTTTTTTTTTTTTTTTTTTTTTTTTTTTTTTTTTTTTTTTTTTTTTTTTTTTTGAGACAGGGTTTCTTTGTAGCTTTGGAGCCTATCCTGAAACTAGCTCTTGTAGACCAGGCTGGCCTCAAACTCACAGCGATAAACCTGCCTCTGCCTCCCGAGGGCTGCAATTAAAGGCGTGTGCCACCACCACCTGGCAGAATTTATATTACTTTTAACCAGAGCTGAGACAAATTGTGTGTGTGTTTGTGCATGTGTTACATGTTTATGATTTCTATTTCCCTAACTCTCTGCTCATTAGACAAGCAGCTTTTCCCTTTGTGCCCTTTTTTTTTTTTTTTGGCATCTTTATTGCTGGTCGCATTGCAGCCTTCTGCCTAACTGCTCTTCCATCTCACCTTCTTAGTCTGCATAGAGCTCTCTTGTGTCTCTTGTAGGCCTGTGTGTGCTGTTAATGCAGCTTTATGTAGTTCTTAGGTTGAATACTTAGAACACTTGGCGCCAACTAAATGTATAAGGAATGCTATTATGAGCGAGATAATTATCTTAACATGAGAAAAACTTTTTTTTTACAAAGATACTAGAAAGCTTCTTAGCTGAATAATGAACTTAACAATTATATATGGTTTCATTTACCATTGAGAAGGATTTCTGCTTTGAAGTATGATTCATGTTCTTTTTCTTGAAATACATCCAAAATAACATATTGTATAAATTTGTCCTCAAAATATACTAATTGATTCTGTTGAACTAGCACATGTTCCTGTGGTGTGTAATTTGCTTTGAAATTCACTTCTATTGTAAATAATGCAAATCATAAAACATGTACATTAAATAAGCAAATAAGCTCAGAGTGCTATGCTTTGAATGGTACTATGAGTACTTCTGTTGATATATATATATGTATATATATGTGTGTGTGTGTGTATATAATCATGTGACAGAGTTAGATTTTCTCAGCACCTAGTCACAATGAATATAAATGTTTTATTTCACATATTTACATTTTGGCACTGTATTTTGATTAATGGACAGAATAACTCTCTGGTGTTGAGTATTGTTATTATGAGACCCTATTACTGCCAACTTTCTAAGCTTTTAAAAGTTGATCCAAGGCCATTTTGAGTTTCATATATTAGAGTCACTTTTATTCAATGAATAGTTAATTATAAAAATTTGTTAATTCTACCTTTAAAAATGTTAAATCTACCTTTCTCTCTCTTTTCTAATTTGTATTTTGACCACTTAACTCTTTCTTAAAATTAAAAAATGGTGAAAAATATTTACTAATTTTTTACAAGCAATTTTGGAGATTTATTTTGTGAAGTAAATAAAATCAAAATATATAATCAATTTCATGTAGACTTTATTTAATAATTTCCTTTTCAAAGGACGTGGGTGGGGACAAATAGCAACAGATGAGCCGGGTTAGAGACTTCATGAGACATACAGGAAATAAAGCTACTGGAAATGGAGATGAACTATCCATAGGAAGTTATTTTTCCTTCTCCATACCTACTTGAATCTTCCTACATTAAACTAGTGAAAATTAAAATAGGAAATCAGCTTCTAATGTATAACCTTTTAACATGGATCCAAACATCACTTGATGTTTAATAGAATATCAAATGATATTTGTATAATTTTGAATCCTGGTTGTTTTAGAAAGTGAAAATAGCATGCAATGTGAAAATTTCACTTCTCATCTTTAGTGCTGCATTAAACAGCATTAAAAGTGGTCCTATTGGGAGCATGGAGAGATGGCTTATCAGTTAAGAGCATGTGCAGTTTTTCCTGTAGACTCGAGTCTACTTCCTAGCACGCATATCAGACAGCTGGCAATTGCTTATAACTCCAGCTCCAGTGTCCTCTGTAGACACTTGCATGCAAATGGCATGCATTCACACAGATATATCTACATAAATATAAAGAAAAAACGCATCTTTTATAAAGTGGTCTTATTTGTTTGCTTTTGAAAAATATGTGTTCCTTAGTAACTTCATTATTCTTCAATAAAAGTTGATGCCAAAAGTTAGAAAATAATATAAATTTCATAAATATTTATTGGCAATTCATTTGCCAGGTACAGTGCTTTATTTAACCACTGAGCAATTATTTAGCATTTACAGTTGGTTTAACCTGTTTGGAGCTTTGGGCAAATATAATAATAATTTGCAAATAAAATGGAATGGGCTGAGCTCTCAATTTGCATTGTATGACAGTGTTCATTGGTCGGAATAGACCTTTGTGTATTTCACTTTGCCCTTGATTTCACTAACTGTGATGTTGGATAGAGAGGAGTATTTCAGTGGCTTTATAATCTATATTTATTAAGAAAGAACCCATGTTGGGTGGCACCCTAGTACCTGAAATTTCATCTCTAGGGGATTCTATGCCTTTGATAAGTTAATAGGCACCACAGTCATATGCTTTGTTTTCTATTTCTGTTTGGCTTGTTACCTTTTCATAATACAGCAGGTCCATCTCCTTCTTTTTGAGGCTCCTTGAGTTACCTTTAGTTCCTCCTTCTTCCCAGAATTCTCTTAGTCTGATTCTCCTGCCTAACCTATCCTGCCAGCTATAGGCGAGTCAGCTTCTTTATTAAACCAATTACAGAAACATATATTCACACAGTGTAAAGGAATATTCCACATATGTGTATATGTATTTCTAAATATGTGAAATATAACCTTGTTTAGCCCATATAATGTTCCTTGTATGTGATATGTTTTCAGGGCTAAAGTGCTCATCAGTCCAATACCAAATGGTCGGCCCTGAAAAGAATATGTATGAGTAACATTATACAGACTGGGAGGGTTGATTTTAATAAAAAAATTAGCTTTATAATTATTTAACAATTAAAGTGGAGTAGAATTTTATGAATCATCAAAATCAGGGAGAAACTTGCAGAATACTAAGCATAAAACTGTGTGTACATGTACACTGACAAGCAATTGTAGAACTATTTGGGTAAAGGCTATATTTGATCTAAACGTGTAAGTTTCTTAACTTGAAAGGAGCATAAACCTAAGAGATTTCATCCCTAGTCATCTCCTGCTAACCAGTATTCTGGAAAATCTGAGGTAGATCTAATACTCTTTGTATTTACCATGGATCTAATATAGTGTTCCCTTTCTAGGATTATTGTTTACCATGGATTTACGTCTACCGTGTCCCATGGATCTAGAGTTACATACCTTTTCTATGTCTACCACATCTCTTGGATCTAGTGTGGTGTGCCTTTTTTATGTCTACCACCTAACATGTTACTCATACTTTTTTTTCCAGGTGCAGCAGGTACAGACAGTTCAGCAGGTCCAGCATGTCTACCCAGCTCAGGTGCAGTATGTGGAAGGAAGTGACACAGTCTATACCAATGGAGCAATGTAAGTTGGATGCTGAGGTTGGGTGAATTCCTCCAGCTCAGGGCAATACTGTCTTGTCTAACACTGTCCTCTGCTCCTGCGATTGTTTGCATGATTTTAACATTTTTTAAATCAGAGCAGAGTTATTTAAATTAAACTGATATTTAAAAGTTTGTCTGTATTTGTTACTAAATACACTCATATTTTCATCTTACTTAGCTTTCCAGAATATTTTAGCTTGTTGAAATTGCATGTACTTTAATAATTTTCCCTAAATTGAGAAAAGCTTGTGTTTCTTGTTACTTATGGCCATGTTTTAATAATGCCTTAACATCTGTGATTTTCTAAATGTTAAGCTGAAAAGTGTGGGGCTTGTGTTCATCTGTAAATTTTTAAAAAATCATTTTGGGAATTTTGTAGACTTCTTCACAGTTAAATCTGTATGAGAATAATGATCTTTTATGAATCTTATTTTCCTACCTAAGTCTGTCCACTCACAACTGTCTTATCTCCTTTGACTCAGCAGTAGTAGCAAGTTGCAAATTTATTGGCTTTTTCAGCCATTTTGAATTGCAAGTCAGTGTATTATTATAAATGAAGAAACTAAAAATTTCTCCAAGTTGTCACAGTGATTTCATCCTGGGTTTTTGTTAGCAGAGTTTCTGAATGTCCCTCAGTGAATTTAGGTTCTCTCGGTGTCTTGCTTTTGTCCCTGTAGTGTCTCTGTTCCTTGCATCCCTATCGTATGTGTGTTCCTGCACTAAGTTTGCTCCTCGCATCCCTACAGGATGGGCATTCCTCACATTCCTGCTCAATGGATGCTTCTTGCATCTCTGCAGTGTGATTGCTCCTCAAGATAACGCTGCTGTCTTTGCTTCCCCCCCCCCCATGGTTACTTCCACTGATCCCAATGATATCACCCTGTGAGCTCTCAGAAAGCCTGGACTTTACTCACTACAGTAACTGTCAAAAGACGAGCATGCATGACAGTACAGTTGAAGTCATGTATCATGCTGTTATGACTAAAAGCTTATATTTGGCTTAATTGTGTGCTAGTATTGTAAGAGTGATACATGTAAAATATTCTGAACTTTTTGTTATTCCTTTAAATTAGAGTGGGGTATGCTCCAACCAAATTTAGTGTCAGAAGATTCCAGGATGCATTTAGTGTTCCTGACCTGGGGTCTGCATCATGATAAGAGAGCGGGAGATGGAAAGAAAGCTCTTCTTTGTCTCTTTTTCTATTTTTAGTTAGAATACAAAGTCACGGGTTCATTCTGGCATTTCACACCTAGCTTGTTTTTGTTTGTACTTGTCCCCTATTCCCTCTTGTGACATCAACCCCCCCCCTTACCTTTCCATATGTGGCAGTACTCTTGCTGTTTTCATATTACATGTCTTCCCTGCCTTTGAAACTGTTTTTCATCTTGTCCCCTTCCTGGCTATGGTCTGTGTTTACTCTCACACTCAATTATACTTTCTCTCTCTCCCCTCCCTTCCTCCCTTCTCTCCCTCCCTCCTTCCCTTCCCTCCTTCCCTCTCTCACACACACACAAAATTAGAGGCTGAGGGGAAGGCTTAGCAGTTAAGAGCACTGGCTGCTTTTCCATAGAATCAGGTTTGATTACCATTATCCAAGTGGCAGCTCATGATCTTCTGTAACTTGCATTCCAGGGGAAAGGCCTTTTCTAGCCTCTGTGATCATTAGGTATGCACAAGATACATACATCCAAAACATTCACATACAGAAAAAAATTTAATTAAAAAATAAAACTTGAATCTGCATTAGAGACTATGCAACATTTGTTTTCCAAGTCCAGGTTATCTTATCTGATATGCTTCCAAATTCATCTATTTTTTTTCTGTAGGTTTTGTAACTTGCTATTCTTTATGGCTGAATAAAATACCATTGATATTTACCATTGTTTATATTTTAATAATTTGCCAAAAAAAAGAATTGGTAAGATTGATGTGCATGTCTCACTGAGGTAGTATATAGAGTTCTTTCTTCGGATGTATGCTGTGTTGTGGAATAGCTGTTTCTCATGGTAGTTTTAGATTTTTTTTTTTTAGAAAATTCAGCACTAATTTCCATAGTATCTGAGTCAGGGTACCTTGTACTAGCAGTGAATTAAGCTTGTTCTTTCATACTCTTGATCATATTTGATATATTTTGCTCTTTCAGTGATAACCATACTGACTGGTAAGAGAGGGACTCTCAGTGTAGCTTTGATTTGCATTTCTCTGTTGCTTGGTTATATTGAAACACATGAAAAAATATTTGTTGTCAATTTTTTTCTTCTTGAAAATGAGTATTTGGTTCATTAGATTATATATTGATTGGTTGCACACATATGTGTGTGTATTTAATTTTTGCAGTTCTTTATATATTCTAGGTAATAATACCCTCTCTGAAGTATAACAGGCAGAATTTTCTACCAATCTGTAGGCTGTCTGTTTGCTCTGCTGACAGTTTCTTGGCTTCCCAAACCTTTTTAATTTCATGTAGTTGATTTTATCAGCTCTTAGAGTTGTTTCCTTTGTTATTAGAGTCCTATTCAGATCCCATTGATCAGTTCTTAGGGTTTTACTGAATGCTATTAGAGCCTTGCTCAGAAATATGTGCCTATAACAGAGAATGGAATATTTGTCCATAGCAGTTTCCAGGTTTAGGAAATTATTTGCTGTCATTTCAATGAATTAATTGTCTACACCATTTGACTTGCTCCCAATTCCTTCTAATTCATGGATTATTGAGTCTTTTTAATGTAGTTAGACATTTCATATGCTTTGATCATCCTGTTAACATTTAAAAATATGTTGTCTCAATGTATTATTGTCTTGACTTTGTCTTTTTCTTTGAAACTCATACTTAGTCTGCTCATGAAGCATTCTTTTGTAATTTTCCAATTTGATTGGCTTACATTTCCTTGTTTCTGTTTGGTTCTTCCTCAGTGTCTCAATTTCTTGGTTGAGATTTTTGTCCATGTTTTTAAGTTTGTACTCCAAGTTTCTAACCATTTCATTCCCTGCGGTTACTTTCTTGTTTAGGTCCTGAATAGGATTCCATATTTTGATCATCTGCTCAATTGAGTGATCTTTATGGCCACTGATCCTTTGAGAGAGAGAGAGAATCTAAATTCTGTCTTTGCTTTCTATTTTTGTGTAGTTGAGAGGTTGTGGGTGCTACTAGAGGCCACTTGGTTGTTAGTTGTCATTGCCCCAGACAGCTAGTGATAGCTAGCTATAGAGACTGAGAATAACGGGGTTTGATCTTTCATGTCTGTGTGGTGGAAGCTAGGTGGCCAAGAAAAAGGGCACTTGAGATGGATGTTAAGGGAGTCTGCCAGAGTGGTTCCTCATTGGTCCTGCTTTAAGGTAGTGCAGGCAGGTCAGCTTTACTACTTAGGAGGATGTGACTTTGAGCTTGAAATGGAGATAGCTTCTCAGAAGTGCTTTGTGACTCAACTGAGAAATTGTTATAAACATTAATTATTGCTCATAAATGTTGTTCTTTGTTTGCATTTTTCTGTCCTCAATTCTTCTTCACACTGTCTTCTGGATAATTTTTTAACTTGTAATTTCATTCTTAGTTAAATTTTAATTTGATGTTGAAATTTTTTAACCAATTTTTAACATTTCAACTGGACATTTACATCGTTTATTTATATGTGTGTGAGTTTGTCACAGTGTGTATGTGAAAAGACACCTTGTGGGAGTATAGTTTTCCTTCTACAATGTAAGTCTCAGGAGTTGAACTAAAGTTATCGAGCATGAAGATATAAGCCTGTGCCTGCTAAACCACCTTGGCCCTTGGCTCCCTCTTGTATATACAGAACTCTCCCACATAAGAAATATGAGTTCATGGTTTTATGTACTTGTAAAGCCTTAGAAAAACAGTATTTCTGAAGTTGATTCTTTAAAATTGTGGGACCCGTGTAATTGCAGAAATGATTCCCCAGGAACTGTCTAGTGCCAACACTTTCTTTCTGTGGCCACTAGCTCGGTTGATTAGATCATGACTAATGAGGTCTAGGTCATGAGTTCACTTGCTACAAAGTCCAATTAGCTTTGATCTGGACTGTGTGGGCCTAGATTGCATCTTCAGTTCCGAGTATCGTGACAATGAGCACTTTTGGTCACGATAGATAAGACATGCGTCTTAAGATCCCTTGTCACTGGTAAATATACACTTTGAATAGAAGTTCTAAAGTATCACTTCTGTACTTAATAAGGAAATATCATTATGATGCTATAAATTATATTCAGGATTGTAGTGATTAGATGACTATGAATATTTTTTCTCAGACATCAAAATAATTACTTTTTCAGCATAAGCCGTTAGAATCTGTTTTGTGCTTTTACACTGTTGCCATTAGACTGCATACAGTTTGTGTATCAAATGCCCCTCTGAGAATACTTGTATTCTCTCTTTGTGTTCAGAAGATTTCCATATGTGTTAGAAAGGAGTCTCTATTCTTCTGTTGTGTCACATAGAATTAATAGGCAGCTAGTATTTGATCTCTGACCTGGACCCCGGAGTCCCACTTCTGTGTGATAATAACCACATTTTGCTAATGATCGTCCTAGGGGAGAGGGACTCTGATCACTGTCATGAACTTTCAAGCACCCAGTACATGACCCTACAACCCGCACATGCTCAGTACTTCCGGTTCCCTATGCCAGCGTTACCAGCATCCCCGTGTTGTGTAGACATAAGCACGGGGTCTCACTCAGGAGGTGATGACAGCACTCACAGATGCGAGTAATCACTCATGAGAATGTGTAATCATCATCATTTCTGAAACTAAAGTGTTTACCTGGTTCTCGCTGCGAATATTGACAATTACTGCTAGCATAACAGGCTTAGCGGTGTGGGTTAGTAAGTAGGCCTGTAATTCAGTTGAACAATTGAGACTACTTTGCAGTGCTGGGTGTTGGCACAGAATCACTTTTTACTCAAGGGAAAAGGTAACGCAGTTCATTCCTCTCCTGCTCGTTTTATCCTTGTTCTTTAGGTA